TATTGAGCCATGTTTGTTGTATTAGTCTGGACTTTCATTTCTGGCAAGCAGCTATAAAAGTGTTTCCAAATAGAAAGACAGGCCACACTTCATGTGGATAGTCCAATAATAAAATCAATACAAAGTCTTTGAAATTTCAAGGTTCAAGGCTTTTATTGGTCATGCGTACATAGCTACAGTGTAGTTATGACGATGAAAATCTTAGGTCACAGGCTCCTCCAACAGTGCAACACAATAAAACAGAAAAACAGAAAGAATAGTGCAAGTACATACAAAAAGAAAAATAGTGCAATAGTGCAATAGTGCAATAAGAGTCTATATACAAGTGATTGGAATATTATATATTAGATACATCATTTGTAAGTTGCAGCCAGATGAATGTTATGGATGTTGTTTCTAAGTTCAGGTGTTTAATAGTCTTATGGCCTGTGGGATGAAACTGTCCCTGAATCTGGCAGTTTTAGTCCTGATGCTGCGGTACCGCCTGCCAGATAATAAAGCAGAGTCAAATGTAATCTGTAAATGTTAAGTGCCTTGGAGGAGGTGTGTTTTCCTTGTGTTCACTCCAGAGGGGGGTTTCTCTCCCATACACTCCCCCCCTGCCTGAAACACCTCCATTGGACCCCTTTGTTTACTTCTGTAACATAGTGACATCACTGTGTAACATTTGCACTTCGACTGGCTAGGGCTCCAACACATTGTACGTGATAGGCTAAGGGTCGGGACATCTCTAAGTGGTTAACCAATCACAACAGAGCCGGCCAGCTAACCAATCAGAGCAGAATGGGCTCTGGTTTCAGACAGAGGGTGAAAAGAGGTGCTGCAGCACAGACAGTATGAGAAGAATAAAGAGCTTTTTGAACATTAAAGTATGGAGACATGTCCCAGTAGAGACACTACATACTGATATACACCTGAACATCAGCAGGAGAGGACTCTTTAAAGTAGAGACACTACATACTGATATACACCTGAACATCAGCAGGAGAGGACTCTTTAAAGTAGAGACACTACATACTGATATACACCTGAACATCAGCAGGAGAGGACTCTTTAAAGTAGAGACACTACATACTGATATACACCTGAACATCAGCTGGAGAGGACTCTTTAAAGTAGAGACACTACATACTGATATACACCTGAACATCAGCAGGAGAGGACTCTTTAAAGTAGAGACACTACATACTGATATACACCTGAACATCAGCAGGAGAGGACTCTTTAAAGTAGAGACACTACATACTGATATACACCTGAACATCAGCAGGAGAGGACTCTTTAAAGTAGAGACACTACATACTGATATACACCTGAACATCAGCAGGAGAGGACTCTTTAAAGTAGAGACACTACATACTGATATACACCTGAACATCAGCAGGAGAGGACTCTTTAAAGTAGAGACACTACATACTGATATACACCTGAACATCAGCAGGAGAGGACTCTTTAAAGTAGAGACACTACATACTGATATACACCTGAACATCAGCAGGAGAGGACTCTTTAAAGTAGAGACACTACATACTGATATACACCTGAACATCAGCAGGAGAGGACTCTTTAAAGTAGAGACACTACATACTGATATACACCTGAACATCAGCAGGAGAGGACTCTTTAAAGTAGAGACACTACATACTGATATACACCTGAACATCAGCAGGAGAGGACTCTTTAAAGTAGAGACACTACATACTGATATACTCCTGAACATCAGCAGGAGAGGACTCTTTAAAGTAGAGACACTACATACTGATATACACCTGAACATCAGCAGGAGAGGACTCTTTAAAGTAGAGACACTACATACTGATACACTCCTGAACATCAGCAGGAGAGGACTCTTTAAAGTAGAGACACTACATACTGATATACACCTGAACATCAGCAGGAGAGGACTCTTTAAAGTAGAGACACTACATACTGATATACACCTGAAACATCAGCAGGAGAGGACTCTTTAAAGTAGAGACACTACATACTGATATACACCTGAACATCAGCAGGAGAGGACTCTTTAAAGTAGAGACACTACATACTGATATACACCTGAACATCAGCAGGAGAGGACTCTTTAAAGTAGAGACACTACATACTGATATACACCTGAACATCAGCAGGAGAGGACTCTTTAAAGTAGAGACACTACATACTGATATACACCTGAACATCAGCAGGAGAGGACTCTTTAAAGTAGAGACACTACATACTGATATACACCTGAACATCAGCAGGAGAGGACTCTTTAAAGTAGAGACACTACATACTGATATGAACCTGAAAATTAGCAATAGATGTCATCTTTAAAAAGGTTCAGGGACCAGGTCAAGGTTATACTCTCCAACAAAACAAAATTTTACTTTAAATGAATCTTAATTATTTTGTAAGAAAGAGTTAAGTGCTGTGTGGCATACAAAAACCCTTTTGGCATGGATTGGTAATTATTGAACTTTTTCAGGGGCTGGTATGTTAGTTTTGTACCTTGGTATAAAGTCAGGCTAGCTGTTTGCACCCAACTCCAGTCATTATGCTATGCTTTGCTAAAGGAGAGTGGCTGTAGCTTCAAGTTTATCGTAGAGACATGATATTCATTTTTAAATGTAACTCTTGGCAAAATAATGAATAAATATAAAATGATATTACAATGACTTTCACAATATAGTCATTATTATTTCCCATCCCCCTCTCTGTCCTTCCCTACATCAGGAATTGTGAGCTGATATACCAGGTGGATGATGATGACTTCCTGTATCGAGTGGTGACCCCCTCAGTGCGTCAGGGGGGGGTGGGTTCCCCGACTTCAGCCCAACCAGGAGAAGGGATTCAAGACTTCATCTTGTTGGCTTCCAAGAGGAAGCCGTGTGGCAGCGGGTCAGTACACTGAATGGCTAAATGACAGGTCAAAGGTCACATACCCCTTATCTTTCAGAATTTACTGTCGCTTTGTTGTTGTAGGATATGTTGCAAGAAATATATTGTTATATAATGTAGTAAAGTAATCAGAATAGGATCATTATGGTATTTAATGTTAAGAGCATATTGTGTGTGTACTAGGTTAAAAAAACAAGGCTTCACAAACTGGAATTAAGAATGTCAAGGTTAAACGAAAAGGCCCCCTTTAGTAGGTTCAGCTTAACAAAATTCTCTGTTAATGGGGTAAGAAGTAACGATAGGAAAATGGACAAGCTTAGGTCAAAGTATTGCAGGGAACGCGACCATGGACACCTACAAGGAAAGGTATGCGAAAAGGGTTTCAACAAAGAATAGTGGAGGTGGTTAATCTTCCTTCACCTGGGTCAACCAAAGAGAAACAAGGAGGCTAAAAAACGAAAGTGTTGAGAAGGAGGTCCTGGCCAAGATCACTCCAACAGTTTCTTGTGTTTTCCCCCTCAGAGACCCATACGTCATCGCACTGCGCTCAGTGTCCCTGCCCACTCACCCCCCCACTGAAGGATATAACAGAGGAGAGGTTCTGTGTGCTGGCTTTACCATCCTGGAGACTAAAGACAACATGTCCCTGGTGAGACAAATACTGGTTTAATATGCTTAATCATGGGTAAATAAACTGATAGAAATATAAAATGTTTGGCTCCCAGTTTTCTATCTAAGACTTTTTCTATGTACACAAAAGGCCTCTTTCTCTCAAATATTGTTCACAAATGTGTCTAAATCTGAGCACTTCTCCTTTGCTGAGTTAATCCATCCAGTGGCCTTTTACTGTGAGCAGCCTGAGGCACACCTGTGCAATAATCCTGCTGTCTGATCAGCATCTTGATAGGCCACACCTGTGAGGTGGATGGATTATCTCGGCAAAGGAAGAGTGCTCACTAACACAGATTTAGAAAAATGTGTGAACAATATTTGAGAGAAAGAGGCCCTTTGTGTACATAGATCAGCTCATGAAAAATGGGAGCAAAAACAAAAGAGTTGCCTTTATATTTATGTTCAGTGTAGATATAATGAAACACCTAACCATGTATGTGTATCTTTCTCCAGGTCAGTTACTATAACCAGGCATCTCCAGAGGTTATTCCCTACATCTCCACGGACATCGCCGGCCTCTCCTCCACTTTCTACCACACCTTCTCTTCCTGCAGCCAGTACCTCGCCAAAAACAGACTGCAGTCGGCCTCTGAGGAGCCAACTGGCCCAGACCAGACCACAAACACAGACAGTCCCACCTGGGATGCTGCTGCAGACGGTCTGTCAGCGCCCCCCCACAGCACCCAGCTGTAGAGTCAGAGTTATTTCCAGGCCAGTTCACATCACGTGTACAGTGTTGGGTGAGGTTAAGATGCTGCTTTACAACATGGTACTATTAACACGGCATTAAGTGGTCACAGTGATCAAAAGGTGATATTTAGATTCAATCTAAATATCCCAAAAAACTGAGCCGAGAAAATAAAATGCTCTAATATTCAACCAGACTCTGATATAAAACATAGACCTAATTTCAAAATAAAGACTCAATATTAATGATTGAATTGAAACATTGGAGTCTGTGTCTAGCTATTGTCAGATAAAAATATGTTTTGTTTGTGAATCTACGGTTTATATTATTGTAAAACTAACCAACTGCAGGCTTTTTATGAGATGCGGGTAATTTTTTTAAAGAAACACTAAATGTAGCAGTTAATGGTGAGAGAAATATCAACACGTTCTGACTGCAATGAGCAGAAGTACTTCTGTCTTTTTTATAATAAATTGATGTTTTATTAAATGCTTTTATAGACATTTTAATAAAATGATTTCAACTGTGCCCTTCCACTCATAATTAAACTGTAAAATAAACACAAAATATAATTAATTATACTGCTTAGTCTTGGAGTCAGTATGGTAACATCATCTTAGTCTTTGAACTAGCATGGCCCTGTGAGACTGAACTGAAGCCAAACTCATCCATTTGAACGTAATAACAGACATGTGTGCTGATTAGCAACAGGTATCCAACCATCAAAGCTTCAATGGAATCACAATTCGTTTAGCAGGTATTTGGTCAAAAATCAAAGTGTTATGATGATGTTTAAGGAAAAGGCAGGAAATCATCAAAGTAATCACATCCTCATGAAAATGTGTGAACTCTTCGGCTGTCAATCTGACTCCGAGAGACTCTGAGGTGAAGGGGCTGCAGTTCTGGGGCTCCAGTGTTGCCAGCCGGTTGCCACGACTTCCTCCTCTGTGTGCTGCCTGTTGTTGACAGTCAACTTGAGAAACGGGCCTGGAGTTGGAGTGGAGAGAGAAGAAGGTAGCCAGTTAAGCTACTTGTTAGCTAATAAATGTTGTCAGACAACACTCGATGTGTTCTGGGATTACATGAGGACCAATGATCTGCCACTTCTGCTCTTCACACACAGTCTGTTTGACTGCGTACAACCAAAGTCCGCTCAAACTTGATTTGGTAAACTCTAAACAAACAACAGACGAAAACCAGAACCAATGATGGAAAGTAACTAAGTACGTTTACTCAAGTACTGTACTTAAAGGTCCCATGTCATGGCCATTTCTACTGATCATAATTCAATTTTTGAGGTATACTAGAATAGATTTATATTGTGAAATTTTCCAAACTCACATTGGTTTCTCATACAGCATCTCTGTATAGCACATGTGTCAAACTCAAGGCCCGGGGGCCAAATCAGGCCCTTGGTGGATTTAATTTCGGCCCCAAATGTACTCATTGGTCAATCCGTGGAGCCGTTACGTTACGTCCGCGGAGCCGACACACACACCCAATATTTTCTCAGCTGCAGCTCCGCCGATTTCTCCTCCCTGAGACGGCGGGACGCGGCGAGGCTGTGAGTCTGTGTGTGAGCACACACACAAACTCCCAGCCAGGCTGCGGGTGTGTGTGTGTGCTCGGGCTGGTTTCGGGCTGGGTTTCGCTCTCTTGCAGGCGGCCACTGGGCTCACAGGCAGGAGCTCCAACAAGCCGTTTAGGACAGAGAGTGAATACACATACTATACAGAGATGCTGTATGAGAAACCAATTTGAGTTTGGAAAATTGCACACTATAAATCTATTTTAGTATACCTCAACAATGGAATTATGATCAGTAGAAATGGCCATGACATGGGACCTTTAAGTAACATTTTGAAATCAGGACTTTTACATTTAGTCGAGAATTCTATGACCATAGCAGGGGTAGACATTAATGGCGTATTTCCACTGCAGCGCGTAGCACGGTTTAAGCGTGCCGTGCCAAACCAGGCCCGTTTTTGGTTGCGTTTTCACTAGGGGTAGTTCCGGCTAACGGGTACTGTTTCACAGTTTTTCTGACACTCCAAAATCCAGGTTCTTTCCGGGCCAACAACCGGGCTGAATATGCTAAACTAGAGAGAGAATCGCTGGCAAGGGGGCTACAACTACAACAAAATGAACATATTTTACCGTGATTTAATTGTAATACACATTTCAAAATGATGCCGAAGTAACAACATACTGATACCGGTTAGTAAAAACCATGAATTAATGCTTTGACAAGTCTGCAGACAAGATGGCAGGCAAAAAACCTTTTAAAATGCGTGTTTTCTGAATGGAGATCGGCTAAGCTAACGCAGTATATGCTCCGACCGTCCACACTCACAACAACGGCCTATACAGACATAAATAAACCAGCGACTGTATTCGCCATGACACAAGCAGTCTGTGGTTTGTACTTGTTTAACTTTTGTCTAGTTTCTGAACATATGAGGAGCTGTGAGCTCTGAGTGCTAACAGCTAACGGCTGATGTTGGTTTTGTGGTTCGCATTGAAGATGACGTCACGGCTCCGCCTACACTGCATTACTATAGTTACGCCCCAGCTACTAAACTGTAATGGAAACGCAGCATAATGTGAGCCTGGCCTACCAAGGCCTAACTATACCGTACTAAGCCGTGCGAGGCCCTGCAGTGGAAATGCGCCATAACAGTGCTTCCGGGCCAGCGGGCCATTTATAATGTCTAGCCCTGCATAGTATTTGTACTTTTATTTAAGTAAGAGTCTGAGACCAGAACCTTTCCAATAGTGAAATCTTGTCCATGTGCAAAATCAGTTTGTAGAAATGTCATGAATGTACAGACCATCCAAAAGTAATCAGGTAATTTCACTAAAAGCCAAAATGATCACCCTTTTTAGGGTTCATGCTGAGTGATTGTCAGGTAATTGTGGTGAATAATCATATTCACTTCATCATATCACTCAAACACCTGGCATCAAATCTCAAATCTATCTTTTAAAGTCAGTAGGACACAACCATTTACTGTTCAAAAGGTGATCTCTGAGACACCGCAGTCCAGACCGAGGTGGTGTACCGGATAGTGGTGGTCTAATGGATAGTGAGGTGGGCTGAAGATCGGAAGGTTATGAGTTCAAATCCCGCCAGGAACACCACCACCCCTTGAGTAAGGCACTTAGCCCTTAGTTTACTCCAGGGAGAATGTCCCTGTAATTGGTAATTGTAAGTCGCTTTGGATAAAAGCGTCAGCTAAATGAAATGTAATGTAATGTACCGACCGACGGCTGTATCGTTTATCATTAGAGCTGAGACTAAGATTCTGTTTGTTCTGGGGCCAAGGAACAGTTTAACATGAACCTATAAATCCCATCGTTGCTGTTATGCTGCGTTCACACCGGACGCGATGCGATGTTTGGGGGCGGCGCGATTACATGTAAAGTCAATGCAGAGACGCGGACAGACGCGAATTCGCTCCGACGGCGAGCATGAAGCGGTGGACGCGGCGCGAATCACGCGATTGAGGCGATTGAACGGTGCCCGCGTCAAACGCGAGAGTTCCATTTTTTTTAACTCGAGCGTTAAATTCACGTGACGCGTTCTCGCGGAAGCCAATCAGCGGTGAGGATCTCAGCCTGCCGTCACTGACGTTCAACCAGAAAACATCAGCCGTTAGCTGTTAGCAGTTAGCACACAGAGCTCACAGCTCCTCATATCTGTTCAGAAACTGGACAAAAGTTAAACAAGTACAAACCACAGACTGTCTGTGTCATGGCGAATACAGTCGCTGGTTTATTTATGTCTGTAGGCCGTTGTTATGAGTGTGGAATGAGCATATACAACGTTAGCTTAGCCTGGTCGACCCGATCTTCATTCAGAAAACAAGCATTTTAAAAGGTTTTTTCGCCTGCCGTCTTGTCTGCAGACTTGTCAAAGCATTCATTCATGGTTTTTACTAACCCGTATCAGTATGTTGTTACTTCGGCATCATTTAGAAACGTGTATTACAATTGAATCACGGTAAAATATGTTCATTTTGTTGTAGTTGTAGCTCCCGAGCCAGCGCGTCTTGTTTGAATGATGCGAGTAAACACAGCTGGCAGCCGCGGTGAAACTCGAGCGTTTAGAGCAATGTGATAGGAGCGATTAGAGCGAAGCGAATATTCACATCGCGTCCGGTGTGAACGCAGCATTAGACGGCAGACAAAAAATATCTTCATTCACATTCATGGTAACATGTCCTCCGACCTTTCCTCAAGCATAACCATGATTTCCATCAACAAACTTCTCTGCTTTTGCAAATTAACAGGTATGAAAGATGTTACTACACATGTATGAGTGACATTCTTACATTTATTTTTATTTTTTACAATATTTCCCCCTAACATCTGACCCAGTACATCAGTAATGGGCCAGTGTCAGCTGATAACATTAGCTCTTAAATAGATCATTGTGGTTTTTAAATACCAATATGTAATGATAGATACATTCCTGTCTATTCACATGAAATCAATATATATAACAGAAATACCTCTTTAAGTGCTAAAATGGTGGGTTGGTCATATCCCTCCTCAGTTGGGATTGATCAGATGTCAGATACGGATGTGTTTTTGCTCTCCGTGTATGCCGACTCATAAATTCTTTTAAGCCCTCTAAAGCCGGGGTGTCGTCCTCCACTATAAGGTCGTATCTATCCGTCATGTCCATCAGACGTAGGAGCGTGAGACTGAAAGCTCTAAGCCCTGTTTGCAGTGACGCTGTGTTCACATGCAGAGCCACCCTCTGAGACACAGCAGGCAGGTTCTGCTGCTTCAGGACCAGCGTGACGTACGGGAACAGCCTCTCTACTGTGGACACAAACACCTGGAAGACAAAGGACCTCGTTACCAAAGATGAACCCGAGTGTTGTGAATTTTGTGGAACATGATTACAACACTTGAACAACAGCGTGATGTTCCTGCAAGGAGTTTTTTTACTGGATATGAAACAGTCTCAATTTAATACTAACTCCTTTGCGACGTTCATCAGCAAATTAGACCATTAACAAGAAGCTGTTACAAAGCTAGATAACGCTTTGGGGTAACTATAGGGAATTGGAACCACGGTGCATTACTCGGGAAGAAGTGGCGTTTTGCTGCAGACTTGACGTCATATCAGAAATGCGTGAGGTGTTTTGGAAGTAATATGGTCTGTGTTTATGTTAGCAAGCATCGCTAACACTCAGGGCTAAAGCTGTACTGGAGAGAATATGTGTAAAAAAGCCGGATATAAAAGGTACTTTCCTTGTGGTAAATTAGCGAGAGAAAAAGCGTTTGGGCTCCATACTGTTTCAGAAATAATGCTTGATGTGGTTTGGAACATAATATGGAGTTTAATCACGGCAGCATTTTGCTGAGTTTCTGCTGGTAGACAGCATTCACTGCTTGCATGCGGATGCTCCAAAGGGGCGTGGCCAGCAGCATCTCCAAAGGGACGTGGCCAGCAGCAGCTCGGTTACATTTAAAGGGCCAGACCCAGAATCAGCACTTTAGTAACAGGGCTGAAATAGAGGGGTATGAGGCATGCTACAATAGCCGCGTTCACACCGCATACTTTGCAGTACTCAGTGCCCGGCACTCAGTGTGGGGCACTTTTTCCCCCCAGGAGAGTACCACCTCTCTAGCAGGCACTAAACATGGGGCTAAAAGTGCCCTGAACCAAGTGAACTTTTTGGTGTGAACGCAATGGGCACTGGCACTAACGGAACTAAAGGGGAAAAGTACGGGTGAAAGTACGTTTGTGTGAACGCGGCTAATGGGTAATCTGTTTGGTATTTTGAGCAAAACACTTTAGAGACATGTTTTGTATAGATATGGCCCTATAATATATTGTTCAAATATATTATAATATGGGACTTAAAAAAATAAAAAAGTTAGGCAGATCAAGATCTTAAAGGTGGGGTAGGTAATTTTGGAGAAACCAGCTCGAGATCGCTAGAATTTGAAAATACACAGCCGGAAAAAATCTGCCACTTCCTTACAGAGCCCCTCCTCCAACACACACGAACGCGCACATGACCAATGAGGGCACGAGATAAGTTTGTGCACAGATGGAAGGCTGACAGGCAGGTAGGCCATCCAGTTATTTTAGCCGGGCCGGCTAAAATGATTGTTCGTGCTTTTTACAGTATTAAGGCTTCCACATATTACATTTTTTTATGGATTTTTTGTCAAAGCACTTAAGATATTCATTGCTATCGGGATGTTAAGAGCATTCCATGGAATATAACAAAAAGTGTATCTCGAGCCGGTTTCTCAAACTTACCTACCCCACCTTTAATGACACTAGACTAGACAGTGGTGCTCATGGGAAATGCAGTCTTAATTCAAGGATAACACTACCACTTTCTTCCACAGGGACGCCAAATATGTAGTAGTTGCTTTAACTACAGTATGATGCATTAAGGACCCTTCCTTCCCCTGATTATGTATGAAACATACGTTTTGATATATTGGCCTTTTCTTATGATCTTTATATATGTTCGACGTTTCTATAATGTTTCAAATTCAGTTTCGCAAAAAGCAGCTTAAAGTGCTTTTTTCTAAACAATAGAGAATTAAAAAAAATGTAAACAAAAAATATATAAGCATGAAATGAAAACAACTTTGTGGTAATAAATCAATACAAACTGAAGTCAAGAAGCCGAATACCTGGTTGTGATCTGGGCTGAGTGGACCCTCCCTGCTGACCCACACAGGCCTGTACAGCTTCTCCTGGCTGTAGGCCGAGTGCAGCCATGTGAGAGAAGCTTCCAGAAGCTGCTGAGAGTGGATTTGCAGGTAAACACCCCAGGGTGCCTCAGCTCTCTGGCCCAGCAGCTCCAGGAGGTCCTGCAAACACACAAGCACACAAATTAGATTTAAAATTCATCATTATTCCACTACTTTTATGGCCCATTCCTTGCCTAGGGAGATTCAGAAACACAAGGTGGATAAAAGCAATTAGATATTAGACATTACCAAAACAATCATGTTTTTCTTTATTTGCAATTTATACTGTAGAAAGGAGCACAAAGTGGTGTTCTCTAAAAATCAGATGTACTAAAGGCAGCCAACTTTGAGCAGTCTCATTAAGCCACTTGTTAGCAAACACTGTTTTTATGACACATAGAAGCTTCAGGCATCACCAGATGGTATATACCGATACAACAAAATGTAAAGATATCAACTTCTGTTAACCACTTAGAAATGAGGGGACTTGAAGTGGTAAAATGCGAACTAATTACTGGAGCTCAGGACTAATTTCCGCACAACCAAGTTATTTTTAAGGACCCTTTTGGATTTCTTTAAATATTTTAAATATACCTCCAGTGTCAGGGCTTCCGAGCTCTTTCCAGAACCTTCCACCAGAGGGACTCCAGGTTGATTACTGTCAGAGACCACCTGAACCACCAACATACCCCCATCACCACCTGAAACACACACATGGTATAAACAGGACAGTAAATATGAACAGGGTTAGAGATTCAGTAATTCTATGATTCAAAACACCATCTGTGTCCACATGTTAACATTTTCATCCACACACTGAAAATACGTTATAAGTAAGTTCAAACTTTACAACTAGGCTAACTAACCTCTATAGTGTAAATCACATCACACAATTATACCATAAAGATTTAATACAACAAATTGTGTTTTATTTATTTAAAGGAATCTGATATTTGAAATCCCTACTTCTCACACGTTATTTACCATGATCAGATTATTAGATAAGATAAAATGGGTCTGATTACAACTTTTTTGACCCCCCACTGGGGATATTATGTTGTTACAGCCGCTCAAGAGAAAAATATGACAATAACTGATTAAAGGTAGGGTAGGTAAGAATGGAGAAACCAGCTCGAGTGCGCTAGAATTTGAAAATACACAACCGAAAAAAATCTGCCCCTTCCTTCAAACTGAGACCGGTGCGCTTCCTCGCTGCTGCTTTCGCCTGTCCTTTGCTGCTGTGAGGAGGAGGATTTTTTGCCCCGGGAACATCGCGGATATTGTGTGCTGGTCTGGGAGGATGGCCCATATCGTGATTCTGCTGTGCCTGTTAACTGTTCTGGACTATGAGAAGATCTCTAGTCATCCTGAGAAGCCTACTGGATTCAGGTCTGTTCTGCCACCCGCAGTAGGCATCCCCTGCAAAGGGTCGGATGTGTTACACAAACAGTTACCGGTCACCTTGTCGCAGACAATCTGCTCGACAAAATATGTTTGTCTTTTTTGTTTGCCTGCGATGATGGTACTTCAGGACTGCTTCTTAAGCTCAAATTACACTCTCGCAGACTTTTCCGGTGATTCTAAAGTAGATGACAATGTGTGTGTGTCGATTAAGAGGAAAAGATGCCTGTTTTTTTTGTTGTTATTACTGTCAGGAAATGTTCAACCTAACCCTGGTCCGCCCAGTAGTAGTAGTCAGATCGCTACTCCTGCTGATTTTAAAGCTAGGTCTGGGTTGGGTTTCATCCACTTGAATGTGCGCAGTCTGTTAGGTAAACTAGATTTTGTCCGCATTTGGGCAAGCTCGACTGACGCTGACGTCATTGTGTTATCAGAAACATGGCTAAATAAAACTATTTTGGCCTCTGACATATCCTTAAATGGTTATAATGTGTATCGTACCGACCGGCCTAATAAAGGTGGTGGAGTTGCCATTTATGTTAAGAATAAGTTCAGTGTAACCACATTGATTTCCAAATCTGTCAGTAAGCAATTCGAATTTTTAGCCTTAAATATAGAAGTGGCAAAGGGGCAACAAGTCATGGTGGTGGGGTGTTACAGACCCCCCTCAGCTGTCAAGGACTCCTTGTCTTCACTAGCAAAACTTTTATCGCAACTAGACTACAAGGAAATAGTGCTACTTGGAGATTTTAACTGTGACTGGTTAACTGCAGTATCAGAGGATTTTAAAAACCTTTGTATCTCTCTGAATGTTACTCAGATTGTAGATAGTCCTACTCGCCCTAACGTTAAGTCCCCTAATAAATCCTCCCTAATTGATCTCATTCTAACTAATGTTCCCTATAAATACCCATCTGTGGGAGTATTTGCAAATGATGTGAGTGACCACTGTGTTGTAGCCACAATTAGGGACACTAAGGTCCAAAAGGTTAAACCCCGTATTATTATTAAGAGACACATAAAACATTTTGTGGAGCAGGGTTTTGTTCATGATCTGTTTGGGTTTGATTGGGGAAAAATCGATCTGTGTGCTGATGTTGAAACTGCATGGTCTTATTTTTATCTTGGTTTTATGGAAATTATAGATAGACATGCACCCCTACGTACTTTTAGAGTAAAGGGACGAGACAATCCTTGGTTTTCTGCTGAACTGTCCAGTCTCCTACATGAGAGAAACAAGGCCTGGGCAAAGGCTAGGAAATCAGGCTCAGAGGTAGAATGGCTGTGTTTTAGGCAACTAAGAAATAGCTTCACTTCACAGGTCAAAAGTGCTAAGTCGAAGTACTATTTGTCAGTTACTACAGAAAACCTAAATAATCCTAGGAAATTTGGAAAGCCATAAAATCGCTATCCACCGGTGAGATCCGAAATGAGCTACCTCCGTGCATTACCACAACATCTGGCTCTATATCGGACAGGGCTACTATGCTAAATTGTTTTTAATGAGCATTTTGTGTCCTGCGGTTCTATGTTTGATTCTGTGACTAACTCTGCTACTGTGAACACCACAGTCGGTGACTCTGAACAATGTGGTCTGGAAAACCCTTTCAGTTTTACTCCTTTTACTGTTGATGTTGTTCGTGAAGCTTTAACCAAGTTAGATCCTAAGAAACCGGCCGGCCCGGACAACGTGGAACCTTTCCTTTTAAAGATAGCTGCAAGATTTTATTGCTCCACCTCTCACTACTCTTTTTAACCTCTCCCTCAGCACAAACACAATTCCAAAACTGTGGAAGTCAGCGTATGTCCTGCCTTTTGCTGAAAGGAGGGGAGGCAACTGTTTTAAATAATTATAGGCCAATCTCTAAATTATCAGTTCTGGCTAAGGTTCTTGAACGCCTAGTGAGTGAGCAGGTAAAGGTGTTTTTTATGTACAAATGACATCCTGTCTAAACATCAGTCAGGCTTCAGAAAGCAACATAGCACCATCACTGCCACAATGAAAGTGGTGAATGATGTGGCGAGTATTTTAGATAATAAGCAGAGCTGTGCAGCTCTATTATTGACCTTTCCAAAGCGTTTGATACCGTCGATCATCGCATCTTAAAGCAGAGGCTACTCAGTAATTGGCATATCCAGACATGCAGTGGGGTGGTTTGTGAACTACCTCTCTGAAAGGTCCCAATGTGTCATTTTGATGGGCTGTCTTCAGAGTGGTTAAACATTACTAATGGTGTTCCTCAAGGTTCTGTTTTAGGTCCACTTTTATTCTCCATCTACATCAATAGTTTAGGTGAAAATGTCGATGGAGCAACCTTACATTTTTATGCGGACGATACCGTTATGTACTGTGCATGTCCCTCCATTAAGGAGGCTGTTGTTGAATTGCAAGCTGCTTTTAACATTATTCAGACTCAGCTCTCTGAACTAAAGCTTCTTTTAAATGTGATAAACCAAGGTAATGCTCTTTTCAAAAGCCAAAAAGACACCAGAGCCTGTTTTAGATATTTTAACTACGCAAGGAATAAAACTTGAAGTGGTTGCCTGTTACAAATACCTTGGTATCTGGCTTGATGATTGTCTCACTTTTAAACGTCATGTCAATATCCTGCTTAAAAAACTGAGGGTTAGACTAGGTTTCTTCTACAGGAACAAGTCCTGTTTCTCGCTCGAGGCCAGAAAAAGGCTAGTCACTGTGACCTTTTTACCTGTGCTGGACTATGGTGATCTGATTTATATGAATGCACCTGCCAATTGCCTGGTCAAGTTAGATGCTGCGTATCACAGTGCACTGAGATTTGTGACAAACTGCCTTCACTAACTGTACGGAGGCTCAGTCACTGGTACATTTTTATATATAAAGCCATGTTAGGGAAACTTCCATCCTACATCTGCTCCCTGATCTCACGGCGAATTGTAAGTGGCTACTGCCTGAGATCGCATGCTGTGGTTTTATTAAATGTGCCAACTGCTAGGACTGTCTTAGGGAAAATAGCATTTAGATGCGCAGCTCCACTGTCCTGGAATAGTCTGCAATTAAAATGGAAACTGAGCAATCTGGTGCCACTAAATGTTTTTAAAGCTCGGTTGGATGCTACTGAATCGGAAGCTGTTGGTACCTGTGCATGTGGATAGTATGTAAATTGTAATCCCTGTAATGCTACTGTATGATGTCCTTTTGTTGTTCTGGTTTATGTTTTTAATGTTTCATGTGGAACCTACTTGAGCAGGTCTCCCTTGAAAAAGAGATCAATGATCTCAATGGGATACAACCTGGATAAATAAAGGTTTGAAATGAAACTTCCTTACAGAGCCCCTCCTCCAACACACATGAACGCGCACATGACCAATGAGGGCACGAGATAAGTTTGTGCACGAGATGGAAGGCTGACAGGCAGATAGGCCATCCAGTTATTTTAGCCGGGCCGCTAAAATAACTGGATGGCCTACCTGCCTGTCAGCCTCTTACCTGTGGGGTTCCCCAAGGCTCTATCCTGGGCCCCATCCTCTTTTCACTGTACATACTGCCCCTAGGTTCAATTCCCACTAAACACAATATTCCCTTCCACTGCTACGCCGACGATGTACAGATCTATCTGCCTCTCAAAGCAAATGTCAAACACTCACTACAGCAGTTGATGGACTGCTTGATAGAGATCAAATCCTGGCTGAGCCAAAATGTCCTTAACCTCAACGAGAGCAAGACCGAGGTCATCTTTTTTGGACCCCAACCTCCAGCCTCTCCGGTTGATATTCTGGGCTCTCTCAATGAAAACATCCTCCCCTCTGTCATGAACCTTGGAGTGACCTTCACTAGCACTTTTTTATAAATTTGATAAGCAGGTCAGCACTGTAGTCAAATCCTGCTTTTTTAAAATAAGACTATTGGCCAAAACCAAGTCGTATTTATATTTTAAAGATCTAGAAAGGGTTATTAATGCCTTTGTTACCTCGAGACTGGATTACTGCAATGCTCTGTATGTGGGTATGGACCAGGCCTCAATTAGACGCCTGCAGCTAGTTCAGAACGCAGCTGCACGTCTTCTCACTGGCTACAAAAAGCGTGACCACATCACCCCAATTCTGGCCTCACTGCACTGGCTTCCAGTTCGGTTCAGAATAGATTTTAAAATCCTTTTATTTGTTTTTAAAGCACTAAATGGGCTGGCTCCGGCCTATATAGCCGAACTCCTCCATCGCTACACCCCAGCCAGAGCCTTAAGGTCGGCTGACCAGCTGCTGCTGGTAGTGCCCATGACCAGGCTCAAAACCCGAGGTCACCGAGCCTTCGCAGCAGCTGGCCCCAGGCTCTGGAACACTCTGCCTCTCCATGTGAGGTCGGCCCAGACACTAGGGGTTTTTAAATCCTCACTAAAAACACACTTCTTCTCCCTGGCCTTCTAGTCAGAGCGGAGTATGACTCCTGACTTTTCCCTGTGTTTTTTATATATCTGTTGTAATTTATTCTCTTTTATTGTGATTGTAGTAATGTGTTTTTATTACATGTACAGCACTTTGGCTCGACCAAAAATCGCTTTTAAATGTGCTTTATAAATATGCTTTATAAATAAAACTTGATTTGATTTGATTTGAAGCTTTTTACAGCGCCACGGCTTCCACAGATGAAATATTTGTATATATTTATTGTCAAAGCATTTAATGTATTCATTGCCATCGGGATGTTAAGAGCATTCCATGGAATATAAAAAAAAGTGTTTCTGAAGTGAATTACCTACCCTACCTTTAAGGGATAAATACAATTCTGCCTCTCGTTTTTCCACATAATAGCTCAACTAATCTAATTTCGTCCAAAGTCAAACTTGGAAAATGTATTGATTGATTCTGGAGTCTCATTTAATTTAATTTCACACCTTTATTTATCCAGGTGTATCCCATTGAGATCATTGATCTCTTTTTCAAGGGAGACCTGCTCAGTAGGTTCCACATGAAACATTAAAACATAAACAGAACAACAAAAAGGACATCATACAGCATCATTACAGGGATTACAATTTACATAACTATCCACATGAACAGGTACCAACAGCATCTGATTGAGTAGCATCCAACCGAGCTTTAAAAACATTTAGTGGCACCAGATTGCTCAGTTTCCATTTCAATTGCAGACTATTCCAAGACAGAGGAGCTGCGCATCTAAAAGCTATCTTCCCTAAGACAGTCCTAGCAGTTGGCACAGATGGTGGTTTAAAACCACTTCAGAAGATTTCATAAGATGGTAGTGGGATTTCTTTAGTGGGAAGTTTTTTATTGAGCAGTGCTCACAAGTGTCCTGTTTACCTGCATTACCAGACTGTCAATCAAGATAGACCACTCCCCTATGAAGCTTATAAAAGGTTTCCTTCAGCCTGTGCCCCTTCTTTCAGAGACTGCAGGCCCAACAAAGGAAACCACGGCGAGTCTGCACATGGACTTTACACTTGTATGTACTTTAAACAATTGATGTGATTGTCTCTTATTTGTGACGATAGATTCCTATTGACTTATCCCATATTGTGAAGGGGGGTGCAGTTTAATAGGCGTGTAGCGCAGTGGACTAGTGCGTTGGTGTTCGGATCAGGGGAGCACAGGTGCAAACCCCACTGCAGTCAGCATGTCGTTGTGTCCGTGGGCAAGACACTTCACCCCAAATTGCTCCTGTGGGGATTGCCCACAGTATTGAGTATGTAAGTCGCCTTGGATAAAAGCGTTTAACAAGTGACATGTAATGTAATATTGTGGATGCATTAATGATGTAAGTAAATTTGACAGCGTTATGTAGAATCATTATTGTGTTGGTGTTATATAAGACCTGTGTGTATTGCTTAGATTATTTTGTATAGAAACAAATCATCCACATTTTGCCATCTACAATTCACCATCCACCATCTAGACTTGAATAAAATGTTGACTGCTGACTGTCAGTGCATCAACCAGTGAAAACAGAAAAGGATGAAAGTGAATGTGTTAATGTGGAAACACTATGTTTGTATCGACCTGAAAGTGTTTCCAGCAGGGAGGTCCGGTCAGTGACTCTGACCCAGCGGACGTCCAGGCTGCTGCGCCGTGGGGCCGTGGACAGGAGGTCAGAGTTGTGATTTGGATACAGGAAGTCCATCAGGTCTCCTCCTGGATAGAATCTCCTGAGAAGTCCCTGCTGGCCTAGAACCACACGTTGTATCTCAAGTGAACTGAAAGTTATTTCTAAAGAAAATAGTTTTTCACTTCTGACACACAAAGCGGAAATAATGTATGATTGATCTTTATGAGCAATGTAATAGCAATCTATTTTTTTAAAATGTGAATATAAAGATAAACTGTATACTGGTCCAATTGGTTCATTTTAGGTCTTAATATTCAAGTTAAGCCAAAACTGAAAAAGACCTCCAGGAAATTAATAAAGAGTAATTAATACAACATACATTTGAATGGGTAGCTTTCATGGTTAGATATTCCAGTGCTATAGGTTCAGTAGTATGAGCAGACGTTAGTTAGTTAGTTAGTTAGTTAGTTAGTCTCTCTCTCTCTCTCTCTCTCGCGCGCGCGGGCGCGCGCGCGCGGCGCGCGCGCACGCGCACGCGCGCGCACACGCGCGCGCACACGCGCGCGCGCACACACACGCGCGCACACACACGCACACGCGCACGCGCACGCGCACACACACACACACACACACACACACACACACACACACACACACACACACACACACACACACACACACACACACACACACACACACACACACACACACCACACACACACACACAACACACACACACACACTCACACACACACACACACACACACACACACCAAAAATGTTTAATTCTTGGTCCCTAGGTTCCTGTTCCTAGTAACACGACCACTTGTTGGTGTCTCACAGCTCCTTCTTACTTGCTGCCTGTTTGAATGCAGACAGAGTTGGTTCATAGATGTCGTAGTAGACTCTGGCAGGGTGGCTGTTCTCCCGGATGAACAGCAGGTCACTGATGTTTGGGCGGATGGAGCCCTGCCACAGCGTCAGACTGAATCTGGAAAGACCAGAACACACTGTGTGTCATCAAGTGGGTTACCATTGTAACTAAACAAGAAAATATGAACAAAATCACAGTCACATTACTGATATTTCAAGTTTTATGGTTGCTGATGATCTTTTCTGTGTGGTCAGCACAACCTTTAAAATATTTTATGAACTGACGCGTGTTATAAACAAGTGCAAATTGCCATAATACAGATGGAAGGTGTCTGTGTTACCGTGACGACTGGCTGAGGAGCCAGCTGATGTGCTGCCAGCCGCTGCGACCCAACAGAGCATGGACAGGGAAGGTCACCTGAAGACACACATCATTTTACTGTACATTTTAAAACTCACATGGACTTATTAGCTACCACATAATAGAGTTGTTAGAAAACATTGATAGGATTAAGGAACCAACATTGAGTTGGTGTGAGCTTGAAGCCAAATCCTGTCCTAGTACCTCACTTTTGGCTTTTGGCTTACATCTACATTACCCAGCCGGCCGACTCAATATTCGAATAACCTGATAGTTGTTTCCACCCTAAGAATATGGTCCCAATTTAGAAGTGCTCATGGACTTTATGGATCCTCTATTCATAGTCCCATTCGCAACAACCATCTCTTTCTCCCCCCTTACACTGACAGAACATCGGGACGCGTCGCCTCACGTCTCCTGCGTCTTGGCCATGTTTCGCACTGGAACACACCGCAAAGACTTCAGCCGACGGCCAAGTAGCACGTACGAACTGCGCATGCGTGAGTGGCAATAACTCTCCTTACCAGCAGGCGGCGGTAGTGTGTATTCGTCATTCAAAAGAGGCAACAACCGGAAGACAGACTGCGTGATACACCGAGAGAAGAAGAACAGACTGCGTGATATAAACAAACAACAAATAGCTCATGGGGCTTTCCCCAACCTGTGTCGAGAGCTGGAGTTAAATGAAATCTCAGATTTGCCTTCTTAATAGTTTGTTTGGGTCCCTCACTTCCGTTTTGCTTCTCATGCACTGATTCGCTAAGCTGAACAGCCAATCAGAGTGATTTCTTTGGCCGACGGCCTCCCGATTCTACATGTCGAATCGGCGGCGGAAGGTGTCGGCACGGCACGGAAGGTGTCGGCACGGCCGAAAATCGGCTTGGTGTGTAAGGAGCTTACAGTCCCTTACACACCAAGCCGATTTCGGCCGTCGATAGATGTCGGGCCGTCGGTGAGCGTCGTGTCGCCCTACTCAGATTGGTGTGTCTTGGTGTGTCCCGCACCGTCGTGTCTTTTCGGCCGTGCCGACACCTTCCGCCGCCGATTCGACATGTTGAATCGGGAGGCTGTCGGCTAAAGGCCGTCGGCCAAATAAATCACTCTGATTGGCTGTTCAGCTTAGCGAATCAGTGCATGAGAAGCGAAACGGAAGTTTGTTCTTCTTCTCTCGGTGTATCACGCAGTCTGTCTTCCGGTTGTTGCCTCTTTTGAATGACGAATACATACTACCGCCGCCTGCTGGTAAGGAGAGTTATTGCCACTCACGCATGCGCAGTTCGTACGTGCAAATTGGCCGTTGGCTGAAGTCTTTGCGGTGTGTTCCAGTACGAAACATGGCCAAGGCGCAGGAGACGTGAGGCAACGTGAGGCGACGTGAGGCGACGTGAGGCGACGTTCCGTCGGGACGTGTTCTTTGGTGTTAGTTTGGTGTGTAAGGACCTTAAGGGACCTTTACATCAACAAAGTTTTCGGTAGCTTTAGCCAACTCACTGACAAATGTAGCCTCCCAGACTCTCATCTATTTCGCTACTTCCAGGTCCGTAACTGGGTTAAACTAAATAACCCTTCCTTCCCCAATATCCCTCCGGATTCAATAATTGACTCAATTCTGGACACTAACAACCGAAAAAAGGTTTACAATTCCATCTCCCGTCTCACAGAAACATCTCTTGGTAAAATCAAACAAGATTGGGAAGAGGAACTAATCCAAGCAATAGATCAGGGGTAGCCAACACGGTGCCCGCGGGCACTTAGTCGCCCACAGGGGCAACGTGAGTCGCCCGCGGGGCATGTTCTAAAAATAGCTCGGCAAGCAAATCCAAAATGTATAAAATACACAAAACAAAAAAGGAAATGTAATTAAAAGAATCTACCCTATGCATAAACGAAACCTCAATCATAGCGAACTCTATCTACTTACTACAACTCTATATCTATCTAACACCCCTCCTCCCCCCACCCCCACAATGAATATCGACCAATCACGTTCTTGCTTGATTTGCGGGACCAGCGTTGCAGTCTGGAAGAAAAGCAATGTGGCACCTCCCCGCTGATTTTCCTTCTGGCAGAATCTACACAACACATCAGCCCCATTGAACAGCCTATCATGCCAGCCTATACAGCACATGAGGGGCAGAGTTTTACTGTGTGTTGCAACTTGCATATATATTTATTGCACTTGACGCACACACACGCATGGCGTAATTTCCACTGGGGACAGGGGGGAAATGTCCCCCGCTCTTTTCGAAATCCCGTTTGTGTCCCCCCCACTTTACAAATATGTTTATTATTATTTTTTAACGCAAGCCGTCATCGCCACGGAGGAGCACACAGCCTCTGTGAGCGAGCGAGACAGAGGGAGAGAGAGCTAGGGAGGGACGGAGGGAGAGAGAGAGGGGGAGAGAGAGCGAGCGAGAGAGCTAAGGAGAGCACACCTTTATCTATTTAATATAGATAAAGTAAGTAATCATTCCAATGTGTACTATAGGACAATAAAAAAAACAAAAAACAGTTTGAAAGGGGAGTGATTAGTAAAATATGCATAAATAAAAAAAAAGAATGCTAACTAGGTAACATAAGATAAGAATAAACCAGTTTAAATGATTTGTTATTGGTTGTGATCATATTCTAAAGATGTTTGGATTATTGAAAAGTATAGAGCTCCCTTTCATCTGAGTGTTGAGAGCTGTTTCCATCAATTCATCTTGTGCTCAAAGTGCACCAGATTGATGCATTTCACTTCAACATTTAAAAATAATCTTCCCGGGGGTGAGGCCCCCCCCTAGAGGAGGTGAGGACCGGTCAGCATATAATAATGTTAAAATGTGCTAAATATATACACTGCAAAAAAAAAAAAAAGAGGAGTAAAAGTAGCCCCCGACTTGTTTTATTTTTTTAAAGTAGCTCTCATCCTAAAAAAGGTTGGTGACCCCTGACCTAAAGCATCTCTATGGCTTGAAGATCTAATGTTGTATCTGAACTTGGAGAAGATGAAATATAACCTGAGGGGCTCATCAGAGATATTTGAGTCTGTCTGGGGCTCTGTGATAGCCTACATAGCTGAACTAAAGACACTAAGTTAAGAAGAAAGGGGGGAACTATGAATGTATGTTTTTTTGTTGCTTTTTTTCATATACATGTATATATGTACGTGTATGTATATGTATGTGTATGTGTATGTGTGTATGTATGTGTATGTATATGTGTATGTAAATGTGTGGGTATGGGTGTAGGTATGTACATATGTGTATGTGTATATGTGGGTAATACATATGTGAGTATATGGGTACATGTATTATTGTTATTATTCTTTATTTCCTTATCTATTCATTTTTTTTTTATTATCTTTTACATTACTTTATTTATACCTATATATGTATTTATTTACTTTATTATGTAGGGGGGGGGAAAGGGAAAAATATAGAGTCTAGACTGTATAAATGTAACTCATTGTGCCTGACTCAATAAAAAAAGATATAAAAAAAGAAAAAAAGAGGTAGTACTCTTGAATCACATAATAAGTTACAATAACCTATACCTGATTACCGGAAATGCATTGTAGAGAAGGTCTGTAAGGCATGTACTATAACGAGTAACCGGCAGACACTGCTTTTTTTTTTGCTGTGTAAATGAATCTCATGGGTCTAATACAAATGTCCTCTCGACACTAGTGTTGGGCACTCAATAATATAGGGGTATATTTTCTCCCACTGACGTGATGTGTGCAGGCCTTTTAAAGCTTACCTTCTGGGGAACATCTTTGATCATATCGTACATGTCCTTCACCATGGCCTCGGTGTAGGTCTCAACAAAAAGTGGAGGTCCATAGGCTACCTGTCGGAAACAATGCAATGTTAGCGAATCACAATCATTCTGACTAAAACCCAACTGTGGGTCTAAAGTAGAGATTGCCGTCCCATAAGGATGTAACAGCTGTTATATTGCTTTCTGACAAACAGAGTGGCAGCAATGTAACTTGGCCCGGGGGTGGCCTGAACGGAAAAGACTTAACTACATCACAGCATACATACATTTCTTAAAACATTTATTTTATCAGCTTCTTACGATGAGTACAAGGACTTTGTTCTGTCTGAGGGGCAGGGGCATCAGAAATAAAAAGCATCAGCTGCATGCCAGGGGCACCAGTACATAACGTTGAAAAGAAAATGCAGCCCCCCACTGCATATATTTATCAATTGATGGAAGCCCCAGAGAGCACTTTATCATGTTTTATCTATTAATATTTCATGATTATAAATAGAACCTATAAATATTCTTGTAATGTTAGATGTGCTTTTTACGTCACAGATATTCAATATTATAGGGGGAAAATAGCAGCATTTGTTCACCAGAGGGGAGTGAGGCAAAAAGAAAACAGTAATGTACTGTACAGCAATCAAATGACATTACAACTACACTATATCATTTTCCAACACAAGTGGTGGGGCTCAGATGATGAATTGTGGAGTCATATTGATTTATCATCTCCTGAATTCTTCTCTCGTACCACTGGGATCATGACATTTTGATAATAGGTCATTGATAATTGTATAAATGATACCTGCTTTTAACCATCAGCATGTTAGCATCGTCATTGTTAGCCTGTTAGCATGCTGATGATCACAGCAGTGTTTGAAGCGTCGATGCACCTCACATGACCACAGTGCTTCTTAAACCATAGTGGGTCCCGATAATAAGTAGAGACTTATTATCGGGACCCACTGACCAACTGACCAATCCACGGTCCACCTGACCAGCTGACTGCTATCAATGGCTCATCTCAAAAGCCTATGAAGTCATAAACAAGTATTACACCATGATTTTGAATGTAGACTGAGAACATGTAATACCTTCCATCCAGGAGACAAGGTCACATTAGGAAACTTTTCCTGAACCAACTGCAGAAAACTGGAAAAGAATGATGGAAGGAGAGGAGAAAAAAACGACAGGCACTTTATTTAATAACCTTTTAATAAATAACCTTTAGCATATTCGATCAATCAAAAACGTTATATATATATATATCTGTCAATATATTAGTTTTTGTGTTTATAGTTTCCTTTTTTATTTTGACATGTAATTTCTCCTTGTATCTTGTCCTGTCTTACTTCCTGTGTTTTCCCTCCTGTTTGATTGTCTCATTGTGTCCACCTGCTGCCCCTGTGTCTCACAGACACAATAAAACCCAGGATAAAACCCCAGCTGTGTCTTGTCTTGTGATTAGTCTTGTGTGTATTTAGGGTTGTCTTGTCTTGTGTCCTATATCGGTTTGGCGTTGTTTTTTTTATTGTTATCAGCTTTTTTGCCATCTCATTTTTTAACTGCACCTGGGTCCAACTTCTTGCTAAACCCTGACAATATCACCATTATTACAAAGTACAGAATGTAGCCTATACTGTACGTCTTAGACCATCACAGTGCTATAAGCATTATAAAATACCAACATTGAGAAAATCCATAAAAACATATCTGAAAAAGATGGATCTATAAAGATTGTTGAAATGAGAGGATAAAGCCTGAAACCGAGCCAACAGGAGGTGCAGAGCTCTGATTTACTCTCAGATCACTTGAATAACAATATTCTGTTTTCGTCACAATTTGCCCAATGATGCCAAAAATAAGTTGTCTACCCCAGTTTTATAAAAATGTTGCAGTTAATGTTGTATGTCACTTGTACCTTTTTCTTAAAATTCTATAATCATCCTATTATTTGCTGTGGCATATTCCACATCTCCCCAGATCGCTTATGAAAATCAAAATCTAAAGATATCTTTGTTAGTGAGTATATCAAATATAGCAATAATGTGGGAAATACATGCACAATACAAGCTCTGAACAGCAAAGACTGACGGACAGACAACATCAAATCAGCTTGTTCACCTGGTTCCATTGACTGTAGGCAGGAAGGCTGGTGCGTTGGGACCCAGGAGGATGTCTGCATTTATCCATACGGGCCGGTTGATTCCTCTGCTACTGTTCTTTGACTTTTGACTGAGCAGGTCCAATGACAAACCCACTGATCTCAGAGTCTTAAAATCCAACTTCATGCCTGCAGGGACACAGAGCATTAACACCTGTGGGATGGACACATAAAGGCCCATGTGTTCTACTGAGTACCTTTTCTAGAGGCCAGCACTGCATCCATCCATTGGTCCAGAGTGTTGTCACTATAGATGTCAGGAGGGTGGGCCATGATGGGGATTGGATTCTCATTGGCTGTTCCATAACCCTCCAGAGTGATGTCAGCCTCCAGGATCATAGCATCACCTGATAGGACGAAAGGAGGGGACAGTGTAGACAAATCATGTGTTAAATTGAGCATTATGTTGCTATGTAACAGTCTTCTGTTGGCTATCTGTCTGAAGTGGATTTAGCCTCAGGGGGCAAGGGCCAATATTTGGGGGTTTCAATTATAAGAAACAAGACTTCCTTTTGGATTGTTTGTAGTCGGATTAGCAAATTGAAATGCATAAATGGTGTAGAGACAAGAGATAACATTCCAATAATGGACAAGCTCATGTTGAACTAATAAAAGGCTTTATTGTTGTCAAACAATAGTCCATGGGTTCTAGGATTTCTTTTGGCCAATGTGTTCGGTCCAACTCACACCCAAACCATACATCACCTTGGTAACCACCTGTCAGTCACAAGGTAGTCAAATTTGCTGCCTGGCACAAACAGGATTAGCCAATACTAATTGATTACAAATGTAATCCATATCTTGTCCTGTAGGCTAAGTGTATGGTACTGTATGCACTGAAAACACTGAGTGTGTGAGTTTACTTGTGAGGGCTTTGTTCATTTCCTCCTTGCTGTTAGCTCTGTGGTACCAGGTAGCCATCAAGCCGTCAGGTGAGCTGATATCACCTGACTGAAGCAGGAAGTCCAGCATGTCTCCACCAGTAGAAAACGAGGGAAGAGCGGTAGAGGAATCTGATTGGATATAAAGGCAAACACAGGCCCTTAAACTTAGGTGAGTGGGGGAGGGTCTTAAGTAATTGAACTTTGTCTATCCAGAGAGCACTTCAGTTCTTACTTTTGTCCCTTTGTCAAATGTCATCCAATTGAATTAAAATGACTTCCGAACTGCAGATCAGAGGCCAAGATGTCCTGGCCTTGAGCTCCAAGCAGGGGTCAAGTTATACGACTGTGGATGCTACATTTCTGATTACCAGCCAATAGCATCTTTTGTCAGACCCTCACCTCAATTTATTTATGTTTTGTTATAACTTGCTGCCACCTCTGCGTTATATTTTGGTATTACAGTGGCTGCTACTCAATCACACTGCTGTTGTAGAGATGACTGTGCGCGATAAACACTTTTTTAATGATTACATACTATTAATGTTATCACCTGTTGTTACCTCATATGTTCCCTTCATTTTTTATTTTTGTTCCGTGGATGTGTACTTATGTTCTGTATTAACGTGAGCTTGCCTCTCCATTTAATGTTACTTTTTAACTTTTGTCTACACTGTCCATTTGCTGTAAAATTCTATATGTGAATAAATGACTTCTGAATCTGATTCCTGGTATATAAATCTAATATAAATAAGGCTATAAATATAAGTTTGGTGCATTATGTCATTAATGTTCACATATCAAAAGAACTTTGACCCTCATAATCAAATAAAGCTTTATGGCATTATAAAGTTATTCTGAGCACACACTGCTGTTTGAGTTTGGGTCCTTACTACGTCATCCTCCACACACAATATAAAGTCATACAGTTTGAACACAGATATGGCCCCTCTCTGCTGTCATAATTCAGTCTCATTCTAATACTGCTACAATAGACCGTTGCATTTCCCAGCAGTTGTTTCCTATAAGGATTTACAGACACAGTTAGTGAGAAAAACCTTCAAGATAAGGAAGGGTGATGCATTCACTTGAGAAAACAACTTGACAAGATTATTAGACACTTTATTAGACTATGATCCACTACTTAAGTATTTGTTATCTCTCACAAAATGTATTATTCTGTTTGTTTGCTTCTATATTAATGTTGTGTTTTTATCTTGTTTTATTGCTGCTTGTCATTGAAGGTTACCAAATCATTATAGAGTAAATGACAAGTCCTCTTGGGATTTTGCGGCATATACATTCAGTAAAACCTCCGCCAATATTTAATCTTTCCTAATAAAACAATTACAATAAGAATTATTAAATAAATATTCTGTTATTTCAGAAAAACAATAAGATGTATATTCTCAATGGAATGCATTATGCTGCCACAGTAAGGAAATAATGAAATGTCTCATAAGTGATTGTAAGTAAACACAACACATTACTTCACTATAAGTATTTAAATAAGATGTGATCAGTACTGAAGGAAGTGTGAGATGATTAGGAATATTCTGGAGCCTCTTCTTACAAACAACCAGGACTGGGTCAGACACACAGCACATTATTACTTTCACTACTACATGACTACATTAGGAATGATTGTGTCTAATGCTTGTACACGTTGATAAGCAACACGTCTGGGCTTTTGTGACTCAGACATGTTTTTCTGACTAAATGGCAGTATCAGCTCTTATGAATCCAGGCCAAACTGCTGTTTGTACCTGACTTTGTGGCGAGCACAGCTGCGACAGTAATGATTATGATCAGGGGGACGAGTCCAGCAGCCACAGAGATCAGGATCAGCTGAGGTTTGTTCAGACAGCCCAGGTAAAGCTTGCTCTGTGGTTCTGCTGGCAGAGCTCGGTGGTACGGCATCATCCTGCAGCAACACAACAACAACTGATCACACACCTTCCTATGAAATCACATGTAGCATTCAAGAAGATATTTGATAGTATCCTCTTAAGTATTTTTACTGACTTTTCATGAACAGCCACTGACCTTTCCGGACTTTCCTCCGTACCTCTGTCGCTCCTCTCCTCAGTTTCTCCCATTCTCTCCTGCTGCGCTTACTGTGCTGATTTAAAAATCTCCAGTGTTTGCAGAGAGCTGTCTTACAACACATAGACAGATAAGCCTTATCTACAGAGCAGAGGTGTTCACACAGAGCAAGGTGCCGCATTGCCCTGAAGGTCCCTACAGTTTAAAATCTGTCTTACATAAACACAACAACCCATAATATAAGGCAGCTCTCCCTTCATCACGTTCTGTCATTCCTCGGAAGATTTCAATCTCTGCTTGCTTGATTATATGGGTCCATGACTTTTCAGGGATTTCATCAGGCCAATTTGAAAATATAGAAAATAAGTATGTATTGAAAGTTTCCCGACATAAAGAATGTTGACACATACATTTATGTTAAAGCGTTTACATTTTCTAATGTTTTTTCCATGATGATGTTTCAGCTCATTATTTTCAATACAAATAAACTGCATCTTAATATCTTTAACTTTAAAATATCTTTAAAATTAAGTTGCCAGTAATTTAAGTAAATGTGCATTTCTTTAGATATTTTGTTGAAGTGATCTAATATTTCTGTTTAATAATTTCAATGTATCGTTTCAAATGTTTCCTTTAAATCTCATAAATCTGAGAAATATGTTTAAATAAATACAATTCACTTAAGCATATATATCAGTGATTCATATTTCATCAAGAGAAATAAGATATATTTCTTCGAATTTATTGCAGTAAAATAAATATTTGGTCGCACCACATGATATTTTGACACTTTAACAAACAGAAGCTTATTTATGAATAGTGGTATTGAAAAGTTATAGTTTTTACATAAATATGAAAGGTAAAACATATAAATGGTATAACAATAACATTTTTTTAACTAAATCAAATCCAGTTGGACAGAACGTGTGTGTGTGTGTGTGTGTGTGTGTGTGTGTGTGTGTGTGTGAAAAGTAAATGTATAAACTGCTAATACTAATATTGCATTTGCCACCACCGAAAATACTACAGCTAATGCTCCTTCCTCTATACTGTATGTTAGGGGATTTAGATGAAAGTGCTAGTGTGTATTAGTAATGTTGGCAGTTAGGCAAAACATGATAATAAAGCTAATGGAATCAGGATTGTATATTAGATGAAAGGTGTTGGGATGGAGGACACTGGCACAGGACAGGGGGGGACTACGACAATATATACACACAAGGTAAGGGGGCACAGGTGGAAACAATCAGGGCGGGGTAGACAATCAAAAACGCAGGAGACACACAGGGGCGGGGAGCACAGCGACCTGAAACGAGAGGGAGGATTACTTTTCAAAATAAAACAGGAAGGCACAAGACAACAAAAGGACAGGACAAAAACTAATTTTAATTTAATTAATTTAATTTAATTAAAACTGTGAGCAGCGATGAGCGGGTCTTCGGCGATCCGCGCAGGTTGGCTGTTGTCCGCACTTCGACGCGTCACGTAGGTGTCTCGAGGACTCGCCCGTTGGCAAACGTGGGAAGTTTCGGGCCGATCAGACAATAGAGTGGCGAAGTCCCTCCCCTTCCGGTGGACCTCCATGGGACCTTATTTCGGAAAAATTATGTATTGAAGTCAATGGAGAGAGAAAGATTATCTTTCGATCCCGTTTGAATTGTGCCACGAATTACACATATGATGTTTGTCAATTTAAAAGATAATTTTGCAAGTCAAAAAAAAAAAAATGTGTCGTAAAACTGTGAAGTAACACATTTGTTTGTGTGAAACGCTCAATGAACTACATCTCTGGTCTCACAGAACAACACACGTCACCAAGATGGCCGTCACTACTGTCAACAATACGATTGACTACCCTCACTATCACCACAATGAAACACGTCCTGAAGAATGTCATGCAAAGCTGCCTGCCTGCCTTCCTTTGATTCTCTCTGAACTGCCTGGTCATTTTAATGTTTAATGTCAACCATTTGTGCAGATAGCATGAAGTAGAGAAGATCGCTAGCGTTAGCGTTAGCATTTCTCCCCCGGGCTTAAATTGTGTATTATAGAATGATCACACCGGTGACAGTACTATTCAAAGGGTTCACGAAATATGACTACTACTCCTACTGTTTAACATGTTGGGTTACTTCATGTTACTTCGTGTTAAGGCTAATAAAAATGACACGGCTGTAATGCTAACTAACGTGCTAGCTACTAGCTAGCTTGATCCAGACACTCCTAGTCCTTTCATCAGACGGGAAGCGAAAGAATGAGCAAGACCCATTGCTGGTATGATAACAACCTGGTACTAAGCACACAGGCATCTTGTTAAAGTTATCTTATCTTAGCCAGCGCCATATAGATAGATTATATCTATATGGCGCTGATCTTAGCTATTGTGACATCACTTACGCGACTCTGGGATTTGTAGTCTTTCGAGTTGCGTATTTTTCATAGTCTTATATTTCAACAGTTTTACGACAAACTGTGACTTTTTTGACATGGAAATTATTTTTTAAGATTGACAAACATCATATGTGTAATTCATGGCACAATTCAAACGGGATCGAAAGATAAGTTTTCTCTCTCCATTGACTTCAATACATTATTTTTCCGAAATAAGGTCCCATGGGGCGGAAGTACACTGTAAAAACTGTTGCTTTGGTAAAACTTAAAAAATATGTGTCAAGCGATTCCAAGCAATTTTAAGAGTTTAGTCAACTTTTGCAATTTTTGAGTTGGTGAAATGTACTTTTTTTTGTTTTCCTCTACTCAAGAATGTGTTACTTTGCTAAAACTTAAAAAAGATGTGTCAAGCGATTCCAAGCAATTATAGGAGTTGGGTAAACTCACTAATGTGATTTTTTCTGCATATGAAAAGATGAGATGAGCCTACAATTAAAAGCCCAGATATTAAGTGTAACCAATGCAAATAACAATCTGCTAAGAACCACACGAGAATAAAGTAAATTATAAAACACAATTGAGTTGCCGGAACCTATATACGACAAACTCTTCCTGATTTCAATCCAACCCTTTAAATATTTGATAGCATTGAAACATTGCAGATTAAACAAATAAATTAAAAAAGGGAACGTTATGGACATGTTAATACATTTTATTAAAATGTGATTATTTCAAAACAGTTGTCATAAAAGAGTAACAAGTTTGTTTAAAAGCACAACACATTAACATCCATGGAGACACATGGTTATTACTTGATGGTTATAACTGCATCTGGCTCTTGGGCAACGTATCACTTCATGCTGTGCATCACGAGCCTGTTGCACTTCGACCTCTGCTGTTCCCTGTAAATACAAATAAAACACTAAATTGAGTACAAATCAGGACACACCATGTGTTTTCCTCAAAACAAAAATCAAATCCGTCTTGAAAACATAACGAGCCAGTTTACATTAGCTGTTAACAGACGGTAACAGAGGTGCTATTCACATGCATTACAAGGGGTTTAAGCCATCAAAAAAAGGCTGGTTTGCAAGAAAATGAACCAAATAGTCATGATATTGATATAGTTCATAAAATGTCCAACTACTTCTTTTTAACCCCACCTCATGCTCAGAGATGTATATAAAGTGGCACATGGGTCCTAGAATAAAAAGAACAGACGATTATTTCAACTTTTATCTTGATAAGTGAGAGCGCAGGCCAGTCTACATGAATGCAGGGCAAGGCACGTTTCTGTCCAAAGGTTCCATGATGGAGTCGATAATGTTTTAAAATATCACTTTGAGTGGTGACACTAGTGCTGCATAGTTTACATCTCCATCCCATCTGTGATTCAAAAAATAGAAATGGGTACGTTTACCTGATGCTCATTATATTAGTATGTAAACATAACACGTCTTGAATTAACCTCTGAAACAACAACTCTGACACACTCAAGGGCTTACCTAATGTGAACCTGAAGTCCATAGCAGGAGGCAAAATGTCTTCAAGAGGTGTGTTTTCTGGTGAGGCAAATGAAAGAACAAAATAGTTACATGATGACAATGTAACAATCATTTCAGTAGAATTCATTAAAACATATTTAATTCAATGAATTGAATCAAACATTAAAACACAATTATCATTTAAAACGGTATTGTATTTATATACATTTATAAGGATGGCATTGTTAGATACCAGTACAATTCCATGATTCTCTACACAGCAGATCCTAATTACTTCAATATACACTCCTTTATCTCGTTTGCATACTGTCTAATATCTACTTTATGTTGTAGTAAAACATCTCCTTAATAAAACTGTATTTATTGATATTTCTCGCTAAAGACTGCATTTTACTGTACTACATTGAACACATCTTGCTGACGTTATACATGCCTCCTCGCCCAATACACACTTTTACTGAATTGCGCCTGAATGCACCTTAACTGAAATCACCTCCGTCACTTTCTACTGAGAGCTAACGTTAACTCTCCTGCAGATTCCAACATGGAAAGCGTTGCAAAAGCATGAAAAATATAGTTTGCACTTAATTTTGTATAATAAGAACTCGATGCTGTAACTGCAGACTATGAGTTTAAATTGGGTACACTAAGATTGTTGAAAGATAATTCATTGCTCACAGTAAAACAAACGGCGAAATACATATAGAGGAATTAATATCAAATAGGCGCATTAGTAACTTACTCTTACATAACCGCTGGGTTATAAAGTAGTAGGGAATAGTTTTAACGGAGGTATTTTACCGCACAACATGCACGGCAGGAGAGCCTCTGAGCCCCGCGGCCGCATCACGGTGCCCGGGCCAACGCTTAGAGCGGCGTAGGGGAACAGTTTGCGGAGTTGATTCTTAATACATACTCTTAACTTAACCACTTTTAACAGAATTGTGTCGGTAAGCACTTGATGCAAACTTTGCCCAACAACTTTGCGTGAAGAAATAGACTACATGAGCACGACAGGGCTGAGTCTAACTTTAACAGCAGTAATGGCGCTGGCATGCATTAAAATGTCGATGTTTCGTTCAAAACAGTGAATACAAGAAAAGTAAATAACACTTTCTAGTTAAAAAGCAGTAATTAATAACTCAGGTGGCATGCTTACTTGTTTTACGATGGTTTGAGGAGGATCCAACGCAAACACGTGTCCAACTGCTGAAGAACCGCTGCAAAGAGGAACAGGAAGTCTCACACTTTTTTGATTATTATTCAAAATTATTA